TGTAATAAACTATTATAGTAAAGTAATATTCTACTTAGATAGCTATTAGAGTCCTTATGTCTATGTTTTGGCTCATAAGATACTTGTCCTTTAGGAGTTTCTATTTCTGAGAGTTACAGTAAGCTACTAGCTTTAATTAGAATTCTTACATCTACAAGTTTAGCTCGTAGGATACTTGTTCTTTAAATATTTCTAATCTAAAAGTCATAGTAAACTACTAGCTGATTAGAGTTCTTATTCCTACAAATTTGGTTCTGAGATACTCATCCTTCAGATGTTTCTAATCTGAGAATCACAGTAAGCTGCTAGCTTTAAAGTAAATATAAAGAGATATAATTTAGATCTAGATTCAATTTTGAAAAGTCTGTATAATATGAAATAGATCTTCCTTAGTTTAGGACAATATAGGATGATTTTTCTCTTTTCATGCTATGATATGATATAGATCTATTCTAGAAGTTATAGATTTTTTTTTCAGTATTTGTATAATATAGACCAGATAGATATAAATTGAGATTAGCAAAGGATGAAAAAGTAGCTTCTTTATTTCTAAGAGAGACTTCTTTAGAGATCATCAGAGGAGAAAAAAGCAGTTTTTTTTAACTTTAAAAGAAGTTTTTTTTAGAGTTTCTTTAAAGTTTCTTTAATTAATTATTCTTTTGAGGATGTTTCTTTGTTTTTCTACTAGAAGGCATCAAAATATTATAAGTATTGCCTTCTTAATACAACACAAGTAATATAAGACACAAAAAAGGAACTCTTAATAGTATCTAAGTAGAATATTACTTTACTATAATAGTTTATTACAAAGTTAATGAAAAAGTAAAGATTATACTTTATTTAAGATAAAATATTGATAATACAAGACTATGTATTAGTTTTTATGCTAAAAGAATTCTAATATTAAGGAGATTACAAAGGTTAAACCTAAGTTAGAGCAAAGAGAAAAGAGAGGGTTTATATATCTTTTTAGAAAAGGTAGAAAAGATAGAAAAGGTAATTTATCCCAATATTGTTTCTAAGATAACTCAATAACTATGTATCTGTTTTATATGATTTATAACTCATTAGAAAAGTCTTATCAAGCTGAATCTAATAATCTAACTTAAAACTAACTTAAACTATTTAGTTTATTGAGAAATCGATATTAAATAAAATACATCCAAGAATTTAACTATATAAAATACTAATAATAAATAATAAAATAAAATAGATGAAACTTATTTTATAACAATATGTAATTTGACTATAGCTATAATTAACAACTTAATAAAGTTTATGATATGACTGTCAAAGAAAAAAAAAAATAGAATTCAACTAACCAAAAAAGCAATCTTAATAAAAAAAATAAAAATAAATAAAATAAATAAACCTGAAATTTTTTTTTAAATTCAGATTATGTTACTCCCAAATACTGCATTCTGATTGGACGATTGGGCCATATCAATAATTTTGACCATATCGATAAATATCCGGGTCTCTGGTCTAGTAATAAGCACTTACGTGATGCGCGCGGATTTTTACTATGATAATCAAAATTTAGATCACCCGGTCCGCATTAGCGATAATTTAGGCTAGGAGATCTTCAATTCCTTGACAACTTACTAGGATACGGTATCTGCTTAAAAATTATTCTATCCGATTCGATAAGTCTTTGATTCAGCATTATTAGAATACTAATAGTATCTTGTCTGTATGTTTAGTAGTTTAGTTTGTTAATCAATCGACCCTAATAAAAATAATAAAAATCTAAACATAAAATAGATTTTTTAATAAATATATTACGAATATAGTAGGTTATACTTGGTGATGGCAAATCCCAGTTCTTCAAAATATCACGCGCAGGATGTGCATCACGCGCGTGATGCACGGGATAGAGATTGTCTTGTGGGTTTCTTAAAATAATGTAATGCGAGCCGGCTGGCTCGAATTGGAATCATATTAAAAATCACGCGCAGGATCCAAAAAAATCCCGCGCGGATCACGCGGCGTGCCCATCACTAGTCATGCCAAAGTTAAATTAACGTTAAATAATTAAATAATTTGCTAATTTTTAATTAGGTGTTACTGTACAAGTAGATTATAATAGCAAGTGGTAAGTATGCATAATTCTACGTAGAATTATCACTTTCTTTATATATACAGCAATGAGCACAGCGTTAAAGATTTGGAGATCTAATTATTTAATACAAGTCACACAAGTGATCGGGCTGATAAAAAAAAACTTATTTATAGGAAATTTACAAAATCAGTAACTGTCACATGTTTGATCAGGTGATGAACATTTAAATGAAATATTTAAACAAGATGATGAAAATTCTATAACATATAAATTATAGCAGAAAAAATTTTTTAGAACATGACGAAATGTATTATTTAAATATATTTAGTAATTCAGATGCAGTAATATTAAAAAAATCAATTATGAGGTTATCGGCTTTACTTCAGTACTTGGCTTTATTTAGTTAATTAAATAAAATTACAAAGTTAGGTTGATACCATACTAAAAATAGCAAGGTTTTTTTTTTTTTTTTTTTTTTTTTTTTTTTTTTGATTAACGATTAATATAAATCAAAAACGTGCCGATGTGCGAATCGTATTCTGTTAATATCATCTCTCGATCTGATATCATATAATTTATTTTTAGAAAATCCGGTCATATATAATTAATGGAGATTTAAAATCCGAATTCATAATGTTTTGGAATAAAAATAATCAATCTCATATTATATATTTGATTGACGTCTTACGTAAATGAGTTAAAATTTATAATTGTATGCAAAAATAATAATAATAATAATAAACTATATATTACATAAAAAAATTCTGATATTTCTCAATTTAGAAATAAAATAAATGAATGTGAATAATACTACCATCATATACAAATAAACTAAATAAAATAAAATAAAGGAATTAACAAGTAAAAACAAATTATTCCTAAAAATTTTGTTATTATCATGTACAAAAATGTAAAAAAAAAAAATTAAAATACAAAACAAAATGTTTTCATAATGAATAAATAAAACAATAATCTTATGCTACTGGAATAATATCAGGTTTAATAAACTCTGATTCAATGAATTCTGACTCAATAAATTTCTGTTTTAAAAGATGATTATTAGGCTTAATATACTCTTCAATATCAAGAGTATCATTAGTGTCATTAGATTCATCAGATTCAATATCCTCTTTAGTTTCAAGAGAAGTAGTAGATTCTATGGAAATAATAGATTCATCGTCATTCATAGAAATAATATCCCATTTATTTCTATTCCAATATTTTTCAATATATGAAACAATGTCTAATATTGGTGCAGATTTTACATGATCTTTTTGAATAGTTTTTCCTAATAATTGAGCATCATCATGAATTTTTTCATCTGTTAATACTTTTAAAAGAGCCTTATAAAGTTTGTCTGAGGTAACAGACTGAGCTGGAATTCCGTTATTTGGAGCAACATTAAGATAATGTAAAATTGAAGCCCACCATGGCTGATCAGCAAAATGAGGAACCTTCAAATTTCAAATTTAAATTAAAAATAATAAACTTTAAAAATAATAAAAAAAATAAAACAAAAAACTTACAACAACCGAGGGAACACCAGCTCTAGCAACATTGTGTGTTGTTCCCGCACCACCATGGTGTACCACACAAGAAACTCGAGGAAATAACCAAGCATGAGAAACATGACCAACAATAAATATTCGACCTGATGAAATTGCTTTGTGTAACTCGGGTATTTTTACACTTTAAAATTATATAAATAAAATTATATTTATATTTAAAATAGAATTTTGTTATTTATCACATCGGACGTATCGCTGCCCTTGGTTAAATACGAGATTCGATGTAACGTGAAATAGATTAAACCATCTTTCTAACGAAAAAAAGTTACAAGAAAATAACGCGTTGCTTTAATTTCACGATACACCTAATCTTGCAAGTGGCAATAAAACGCATAGGCGAAAAATAAAATAAAATAAATTCATATTATATTACCTGCTAATGCCAGAAAATAGTGCTCGATGTTGTTCAGAAAGTTTATCCATTACATTTAACCATACACGTACTCTACTTTCTGCATCACTGAAACTATGCATTGATCCATAACCAAAGTAAATTGGTTTATTTCCGTTAGATAGCCATTCAACCTATAATTTAAAAATATACTCATTTAATAAATATAAAATAAAATAATGCAAAAAATATACTAAATAAAGAAATTCAATTACCAAATCTTCTGGTGGAACAAAGCTTTCTAATTCATCGGTAATACTTAAATAAGGATAGTCAATTTGAACTTCGAAAGGGTTTTTTCTATAAAAAAAAAAAACCAATTAATTTATTATATAAGTAAAATTACAATAAAAATACTAAATAATTGTATTTTATTTACGGATTTGGTGGAATTTCAATAAGATGTTTGTTTAAAGTATGCAGTACAGGAACATGATTAATTTCAAAAGCACCACCACCTGGCAATGACGGAAATCTAAATAATGAAAGAATTTACATTTAACAATATCAATTTATATAAGCAATGAATTATAAAAATTAAAAAACATACTAACTTATTGGCAGGTTTAAGATTAAGCTCTTTTAGTCTTTTATTGTAAATCTATTTTTAAATTATTTATATATAAAAATTAAATAAACTATTATTATTAAACAAATAAAATAAAAATATAAATATAAATATTCTTACAGGCAATAGACCAACTGAACTACAATATGTAGCTATAGAATCCTAAAGTTTAATTAGTTTAATTAAACAAAGATTAATTAATTAAAATTATAAACAATAAATCTCAAAAAAAATTTAAAACTTACAACAAAGCTCCATATTTTTGCACTCATTCCAAATGGAAGCCATTGTAGTGAATTAAATGGTTGACCATAAATAGCCTAAAATTATAAATAATTTTATTTAAAAGATTGCTAAAAAAAATTTTTTTTTTTTAATAATTTAAAAAAATAATACAAACCCCAGCATAATTTTTAGAACTTGCATAAGGATAAAAACAAACAAAAGCAATAGGTATATTTCTAACAAGACACTAAAATTTTTATAATACAAATTATAAATTTTTTTTTTTTAAAAAAATTCAAAAATATAATAAAATTATTATTTTTTTTTTTTACCTCTGGATACATATATGTTGATCCAGTACCTAATATTACAAAATCAATATCCGATAAAACATTTTCTGCATCCCTAAATTTTAATATATTATATAAGAAATAAATATTCTAATTCTTACTAAATGAAGTTTTAAATGTTTAATGAATTATACTTACATGTATGCTTTTTGGATACCTTGATTCAAGAACTTAAACATAGCTGGAGGGCCAAGAATAATAGATCCAGAATGTTTTACCATTTTCCTTCCTAATACAAAAAAAAAAAAAAAAAAAAAAATTAATTATAAAAAAATATTATTATATTGTGATTTTCAAAAACAAATAAATTACCTGCATCGGTGTTTTCCCTTTATGAAAAAAAACACAAAACGTATTTATTAGCGTGAGAAAATTTTTAAGGAAAATGAGCACATTTATTATTAGACCCCTACCATTCTTCCTGCATGTCCCACTTTACAAATATTTAAAAAACAAAATCAGGGATTGGATCGATAATAAAAAAAAAAAAAAATTTTAAACTGGTAGAAAAACTTGATAGTTAATTACTAACTCTTATTTCCCTAAATTCGAATCCTCTGGTTTCAATTAAGTCCTTAAATCTGCGATTCGCAGCAATAATGACGTTATGTCCCCGACGACTAAAACCAACTCCAAGATTTATAAAAGGAAGGACATCACCCATGGACCCAATGGCTAAAATAACGATAAAATCGAAAAATATTTAGTAAAAATTTCGGAATTAATTAATTTAAAAGACAAATTACCCATGAACAAAATTTTCTTCACAAATGGAGAAGGCTCAGTAATTCCAGACATAATTATTTGATATTATAACAAATTAAAAAAGTTTCAAGGCGGGATCGGAAAATCTGACATGAATATATTTCTGTTATTTTATATAAAAAGAAAAAAAAAAAAAAAAAAGAACCGCAATGGTTTTAATATAAATGAAATGCAGTCCGTTGATCTGTTTTCTATCTATGTAACGCATTTAAATAAACATGTATATCAATGTATATATATAAAGGTTATATGAGATATACAGTACAGTATGAGACCTAGATACATACTTATGTAGGTAAGTTCTATAATTTCTGCATTCCAATTTTTCCATAAAAAAAATTTTTTTTAAATTAATAAGCGTCGGCCGGAATAGATAAATTGGTTTACGCCATACTCTTTAGTTACACAAACGTATAAATCGTTTGAATGAAGTACATGTCCAGGGGATTGGTTAAACAAGAATTATTACATTACGTACTACGTATATTTCAACAGATTTTGTAAGATCAATTGCCAAATAAATGTTATCGATAATGCACAAAGTACCAATTAATGCCTTATTTGATAAATATTTTAAGTTTTGTTTTGGCTGTCAAACCGTGATACTTTAATCACCCCCCTATTTCAAATTTACTAGCTTGATAAAGGGCTCGAACGTCCATGTGCTGTCCATGCTTTGTAATTTGCTGTCTTATCCCCATTTCCCCAACATTCATTCAACCTATAATTGTAAAACGCCTATATAAACTGCTTGTTCATACAGTCAATTAAAGGGGAAAGCGAATGTTAGGCGATAAGTTCGATTAGAAGATTTGATAATCGAAAACGCTCTTTAATATAGGCAATTAAGAGTTCTCTTAAATTTGTTCTTATGGATTTTAAGCTTTTATAAGGATGCGATTTAAGCATATCACGAATTATCAATTTACTAAAATTAGCTTTTTACGTAATTATATATATCGTGTAACAGCTTTATGTTGATTATCATAAGGAATGTAGAAAATTTCAGCAGAAGATGGTCTTTTTGATAATTGTGGCGAAATACTTATATGCATGATTATCTTTCGATTTCGCGCGTGCGTACGTACATAAAAAATAGTTGAAAATTTTTTTTACTATGTTACTTCTTTGTTTCAGCCTTATAAAACATACGTAATACGTAATTTTTAGCCATCTACATAAAAAAAGCCAGAAATAGAATGACATTTGAAAACCCAGCCCATTTTTCTTATCAGTTATAGAAATATCAAATTTAGTAATTAAATTGCCAAGTTGTCGGTATTTTTTATAAACCCCACAATTCGGCTTGAATCTCTGCAGGGTTCACAAATCAATCTAGTTCTTCACAATTGTACTCTGATAATCTACTCGATAAAGTTAATATTATGTAATATCATATTCATCAGTTGATAGTCTACGTAGTAATACTCTAATCGCTCAACTATAATTAAATTTATTAGTATGCTGTATATTGTTTCACAAATCAAAAAAAAAATATGCTAACTGTGCTAGGACACTTACTGCTCACGTGATAACGCTGTTATGCGATATAAGGATGTTAATCAATTGTTCAGCATTTTTTTGGCTAGTAAGCGTTTGTGAAATTTGGCATTAGCCCAATGTATAAATTGCGTCATTCACTAGTGTCTTTTTGTTATGATATCGCATAATAAACGTCTATTCTCACATAAAGTGCTTGGATTTTGCCAATTCACTGGATTTTTATATCTGGTGTTACTATCGTAACTAAACAATTAACCATTATTTCTTATTATTAGTATTTTTTTTATGTATTTATTACGTATCATTATTAGACTTATTATATTTCCATATTTAGTTAGTTTCCCCTATATCGATATAGTCATTATTAGTCTAGAATTGTCTTTACGTATTCGTACTGTAGCACTATCGAATTGTCGCTCTAATATAGTATGTTATATTCCTAAACTGTATTTCCATTTTAGTTTCGGTAATAGTTGTTCATATTGTTTGGATCTTTAAACAATAACGCTTTAATTGTTGAGATGTTGATAGTGAAAAAGAAATCTATTCAAATGTAAATTTGTTATTTAATCATGTATATAACTTCTCTGAGACTCGTATTTTTTTAAAACTGTTCTTCGCAATAAAGACATCATAGTGAATATCTTTATCTATATCTTATAAGATTATTAATTAGTTTTTTTTTAATCTTTTTTCTTATAACCTATATTAAAGAATTATTCTAAAAAAACTATTTAGATATATATAGCAAAATATATATATTGTTGCAAAACTGTAGCTTTCTTAGTGCAGTACTATTGTTACAAGTGCATAGCCTTTTTAATACAACACAAGCAATATAAGATATGAAAAGAAGACTTCTAATAGTATTAAAGTGGAATATTATATTACTGTAGCAGTTCATTATACAAAATTTATGAAAGAGCAAAGATTATATTTATTTAAAAAACTAATAGAGATTTTAGAATTTTATTTAATACTGTATTTTTAAACTACAGAAACTTATTGAGTACTAACTAAAAAATTATCAGAACTTGTTAAAACTATGAATATTATATAGTATAGGTGAGTAAACTCTGCTAAACTCTGCTGAATATATTAAGAGTAGAGGATACATAGATCATTTTTATATAGTAATACATAGTATTTTGAAATTTTTATATAAAATTGAAATA